ACACGCCTACTTGGGTACCAGTTGCCGGGTAATCAGGTGTACCCTAAGAAGGAATCCCTCATACCCCGACGTACCTCGGGCCATCTACGGCGTGTAAATGACCCCCTCCTATCTCCCCTTTGTGCTCTCGAAGGAGCGCGCGCTCTGCAGCGCGTCTCGCCACCACCACGGCCTGCTTCTGCTAGGGTGACGAAAGGGGCTCACCTATCACCCCCAGGCCTGGCCAGTACCTGGCCCGTTGCCGGGCCTGGCGCTCCGGGAGAGTTCTGAGCCTCTCCCGGTCCCGCTCCGCCATCTCCTTTGCAAGCATAACGTCGAAGGCGACGGCGGAGTTCCACGAACTCTCGCTTCGTGGAGGCAATCATGTTACCGAGCGAGAGAATGCCCACTCCGATGGCCGCCATGAGGCAACGCCTCTGCTCCACCCACGCCGGGCATTCTTCCACCGTGTGGAGCGTTCTTTCACCTGCTGTCATTATCATCAGACCGTAGCATGCATTGGTACCAAGCCCAGTCGGTTGGACTCATCGAAATCATATTAGCCTAACCCTGAGACATATTATTGAATTTGAAAAGCGCTACCTTAGTGGGTTCGATTCCCGGACCGCTCAAAATTTTATAGGGTTTTTCTGAGAGGTAAAATTGCCTTAGTTACTGCTTACATAAACATCTACCTGGTAGTAAAATATTATCAAAATCTGTCCAGCCGTTTAGAAGATTACCTGGAACAAACAGACAGATTGAGTAAATATTTAAACTGGTTTTTACTCATAGGTATAGTTCAAATAACCGTGTGAGCGTGAAAAAATCTATTATTATCACATTACAATGTCATAATAATAGATTTTTGTCAAAATAGTAGGTTTTTAACAGACTTGTATAGATGTGTATTATATCCTGGTATTTGTATACCTAAAGATTTTTGTTTTCTTTTTTGATTTTGTTAATCTCCCAGACCGGGGTAAAATTATCTGATTCCACGTGCCATAATCAGAATTTAGGTAATGGTGTATGTGGACGAAACTGAAGATGTGGTGATATTCCGTGTAAGTCTGCAGGTGTTTAATAAAACTGCTTTCTGGAGTAGGTGTAGGAAATGTTATGGCATTTCTAAAATTTCTAAGCTACGTTGAAGGCTTTTAGGTATTATTCCGGTTGACGATATGACTATTGGAACCATATAGATGTTTACTGCTCGCCACTGCCGTTTCAGTTCTATTCCTAGATCCTGAAACTTGGTAAGTTTTCAGCTATTGTAGATTGGACGTTATGGGTGTACGGTACTGGTACTGCTATGTCTATGAGATTTACAATTTTGTTTACTTTGTAGTGAAGTGTTAAATCTGGACTATTGAAATGAATGGTCTTATGATGGTTCTGTCCCAGTATATTTTGAGGTTATTATTTTCTAGTACTGTCTCTGGATGGTATTTGTAATAGTGTATCTATTTGTCTATAAAGTGATGTTTGTAAGCAAGATGTTGGTGTACTATTTGTAAGAAAACTCTTAAATTAATAACAATATTTCATTACATCTACGTCATGCTTAGTATTCACACGCTACTCGTATGTACTTTTATTAAATTACCAACTTTAATAACGTTTATTCTTACCAAGTAAAATCTCTTAACCTCTTATGTAACTTAAATGTAACGTTGTTACTTCATGTTAAATTAAGGAAATTATATATTAAATATACAGTATGGTGACGGATTAAGAATACAGTGTCATCACCCCTAATCATCCCGTGGGTGCCGCAGGGGGGGGGGGACAACAGCACTGCAAAGAGAAGGAAAACTTAAAACAAACCTTATACCAACCCGTCTGGCCAGCGTGGTATAGTAGGCTAAAACCTCCATTGTAAGGAGAGGCCTATCTCCAGCAGTGGACTGTTAAGGGCTGTCGATGTTGATGATAATATTATGCCACGCCTGTATCACAATGTATCTATCTAATATGTATCTATTTAAAAATATATAAGTAAATTTATCAGCAGTCTGGTTACCATAGTACAGGCTCTGCCTAGTTTGGGATCAGACGGCCGTGTGTGAGATATATATATATATATAAAAATCGGTACAGCCGTTTCGGAGGAGTATGGTAACTAACATTGTGACACGAGAATATAAGTGTTATAAGTGTGTATATAAGTGTTAGTCACATTTGAATCCAGCTCCAGAATAAAGATTTAACTTGGAGTCTGTTTACATTTAAGTACCACCAACAAATATATTGTTGCCTTGTGTGGCAATAGCAATGACCTTGACGCATCTCACACACGGCCATCTGACCTCACACTAATCAGACTACTGATAAATACAAATATATATTCCTAAATACATGTATATTATCGATAAGTTACATTACAACAGAACAAGCAAATGACCGTGGTGATCACACACAGTTATTTCTGCTGAGTGGTAATCAAAGCTGCCAGCTCTGGCTCAGATGTCAGATAATTAACCACTAACTCAACAGAAATAATGGTGTAAAAACTATGGAGTTCTAGTTCTGACTTTCAGCCATTAGGTAACCCGTCTGATCATAGGCCCCTCTGCCATGAAAATTGTTTTGAAAGCATACGTCATTGTTGATTATGATATCACATAAATTAAATAACAACATTCTTTTATTATAAATACGTTCACTTATATTCGTGTCAGACCTTTCATATATGCTATCTTTATCGGTCAATTTACAAGTTAAATTTGAAAATTGCCAGTTTCAAAATAAGCTTTCTGAATAAAAAATCCTTCCTGAATAATATATTACTGTACTTATACAAACATACATCTTCTATTTGACCACACCATTCTGTACGTGGTTATTAGGTTTTTCTTGCGATTTCACTCACCTAAATGTAATTTTAATAAATGAGTCTTTCTATTGGCTATCGGGTACTTCTTCTGAACTAAAGTGTTCTATAACCTTACTATATTTTAGATATGCATTTGTCCGTGTAGTGACGGATTAAGAATACGGAATGTCACTACCCCAATTCATCCCGTGGGTCGTAAGAGCCGACTAAGAGAGCAAAACAGCGCAGGACACCAGCACTGCAAAAAGAAGGAAAACTTGACACAAACCCTATACCAACCAGTCTGGCCAGCGTGGTATAGTAGGCCAAAACCTCCTTTCTAAGGAGAGGCCTATGTTCAGCAGTGGACTATTAAAGGCTGTTGATGATTTGCCCGTTGCTTAATAAAGTAGCCTACGTTACTAGCCGATAATGTAGCTTTGCATCGGTGAGAGAATTCTTAAAATCGGTTTAGTGGTTTAGACGTGAAAGCAACAAACAAACTCACTTTCACAACGATAATATAAATATAGATGAGATATTATGATCCTTCAGGTAGTTAAAGCGTGAACAGGTATCTAATGAAATAACGATATCCAGTATTTACACTACCTACTAAGGAACCCACTAATGACGTAGAGATATCCGTCCATGTGACCACATAGATTGTTTGCACTAACTGTTTGAAACAAGTTTATTTTTGTCAGTTAATACTTCATAAAAAGTCTTATAAATATTTAACTTGCCATTGTCTTGAAACCATTAACAAGATATGTTATCTTTATTTTTCTTGGAACAGAGGACAAAGACGCAGAAGGGTCACATATTAAAGTGACTACTGTCGCTTATGGACATTACTATTTGTGAGCTTTCCCTAAGAATTAGCAGCAGAGGGGTTGGGCATCCGGCAACCTTATACAATCGCTGAAAAACATCGAAAGAACTGCTAACGCGGTTTTCTATGAGGCCGTGGTATTCTTCTGGTGAAACCGGCCAATATATGATGCAGCATGGATATCACATGATAGAATCGTGTATATGTTTTATTATATTGTTTAGTATATATTTTTGTCTATGTAAATGTAAGTATAGTATAGCTGGTAATGTTAGTTCATATTTTTAGTAACTTTCTGGTGGTTTTGAGTGTTTCCACGGTCTAACCAAATGTCCTGCTGGCGGTAGTGTCGCTATTCGGGTCGTTGATCTTGACTTATATCGGTTAAGCTACACGATGGCTGCGGCTATCCTGGACGTCCGGCACACGCGGACGTAGTCTACTCGCGGCTGGCCGTTATAAGCCAGGGAGGGTGGAGGGAAAACCCGTCCTGTCCACCTGCGGCCACATTCAGGACGGTATGAGGCGGCGGTAGGCGCGCCGCCGTTCTAGTGGAGGAACTAGGTCCTAGTGGAGGTTGTCCTCCCGGGCCCTCTCCACCGCCTCATACGACCGCGGTGAAACATCTCTCACTACCGGCCATGGAGTGTATGACGGCCAGTAGCGAGAGATCCCCCAGATGACAGCAATGAGGACAAAGATGTGCAAATTGCCAGAAAAAAAACATTCTATAAATCATCTTCGTCTATATTTTCTATGAAATGTACAATATGATGTAGATGGGCCCCTGGCTCCGCCCCCGGTTATTGCGGTAAAAGTAGTCAAACAAACAAACTCACTTCACATGTTTTTCTTGCTCTATTAAGTATTGTACTTTTTGTCATATCGAGGACTTATATTTTCTACCCAAATATAAATTAAACTTATTCTAGAATAATTACCGTGTGTCTTAATATGGTCGATCAGGGAAACCAGATCTCATAGGTCACATAAGATCGTTGGTATTCAATACCGAGAACACCTTGTCCTCTGAAGCATATACGCGGTTCTCGTTATTATATTAGGTACATTTAATTTTTAACTTATTTATACATTTAGGGTCCCGTTAAAATGTAAAGAAAGATTACTACTCTAAGAGTGGAAAATAAAACAATGAAGAATGCAGATTTACAATTCATCTTGAGGTCGGTGATTTGAAATCTGATTTTATAACAAAGTTAATTTTTTTACCAAACAAGTCTTCTTTAAATTCTGGTACATTATCAACAGAATTCACACCAGCTAACTTTCACTTTAACCGGTTTGTTACCAGTACCGGATTGGTACCGGTTAACCGACGAGGTTTAAAAACGCTGACTTCATGATACTTCAATCCTCAGCTATGCACCTATCCCTTATCCTGACCGTACCAGCAGGACAGTTGTTCCCTGCGAACGCTGCTCTATCATCCAAAGGCACCAAGGTAGTCGTCTCAACATTGCTCCAAATCCACCTATCACCATCATCACCTCCTTTGACTTCATTATCTTGTGCGGTTTTAGCCCCGTAAGTACCACCTATGTCTAAATTAATATTTGGGAACATAGTTCCATTGTAAGACTCTGTAGTATTTGTTTTAGTTCTATTATCAGTATTTATGTTTTTTATATTTTTAACAGAATTTTGATAAGGATTTATTGAACTTTGATCCACGCTACTGTTGTTTTGGTAAATAATTGTTGGGTATAAATTAAGTTTTCTAGGAGTATTTAGATTTGTGCTGTTTGGGTTTATAGTGGTATTATTACTTTCAGTATAATTACTTGCACTGTCCTGTTGTTTAACGTTTAAGTCCTGTAATTGTTTACTAATGTTCTTTGAGTCATTCTGTGGTCTATTATATTGACCATACTCATTGACTTTAACAACAGTTCCTGGTTTCTGAGTAGATTTTTCTTTAAAAAAATCAAAAACATTTTCTTCTTTTACATTATCTTCAAATCTGTCGCTAAGCTGGGTTGCTTCAGTAACAGTTGTTCTATTCCAATGTCCATTACTGTTTTCATATCGATATTGGTAGCTGTGATTCGAATCAACTCTTCGATGTATATTCGATCCGTGACCTGGAAACACTACATCACTGGCTTTCAACTCGTGTTCTTTCGGGTACGAGTTAGTTGACACTAATTGATCTCCATTGCCGTTTTCGAATTTAAAACTTAGATCGAGCACTGGTGAATCCGAGTTATGTCTACTGTTACTTTCGATGTTAACAAAGTTGTGTGTCGTACGGGCCGCGCTCGTGGTAAGAATTGTTACCAAGATAATGAACATTGTCACGTTATTTCATACGTGTTTGCGCGTTTTTATAAAGCGGCCGATTATGACGAGATGCGACCGTGGACTGTGATAGGTTACAACGTTTCCGTTATTCGTAAGAAGTTCAATTACTCGCTAGGGATGGGAATGCGTTGGCAAATGACGTCACAGCCTTATCGATTTCATCAGTGCATTAATATTTCTGCGTTACGATTTTGCACATTCACAGTAATTAATGTGACATTCACTTATGCTCACGGTCGTTTGGCATTGTGTTTATCATTTGTTTTCTTAATCTGGCTGAATTAAGTGCAGCGCATGCTGTCGGGTTTTTGTGTACACTTTTTCCTTTATTATTGTGTAAACTTTAGGCAGTACAAATGCGATCTAAGTGCCTAGGATATTTACTACATATCATCTAGTGATGTAGAAATGCTATAAAACAGCTGAAAAAATACATTTGTAATTATTAAAATGTGACAGCTACAGACAGATAAAACAAACATGAATACATGCACAGATTAAACGTGATTGCTACATATTTTGTATACATATCCAGATAATCTATTTTGTTTACTCCCTGATTTCTTTCTTTCAATTTTTAAACTCTAAATTTGAAGTACTTAAAAAGAGTATCATACTTTTAATCGTTAGTAAAGTTATATAGTAAATGTATTTGGTTATAAGGTAGAAACTTCATAACGTTTTGTCTTAAGTAGAACAAAACAAATTTTAACCTTACATGTAATTGCCATAAATTAGTAAAAGTCCCTCTTTGTTCGTAAAACAAATTCTATTATTTGATATTTAAATTTTAAGTCATCGATAATGTCAGGACATCACTAAGGGATCATCAGAAAATACGTTTGTAAGAAACAGTCATGACATCACCACAACATTGTTTTGTTTACCCTGACCTGATTTGTTTTATATTAATTTGTGTAACGACGTAAATAACACAATGATTATTCATTTCTTTGAATCATTTTTTACACCACTTTTACGAATATTATGACGATAATTGCAGTAGTGCAAAAGTGTGTTTACATCATAATTTCAACAATTATGATAACGTGAGTGAAACCATTGACCTCTTCGGCAACAGTGTTAGTTCAATTTCGGTTCAAGAACCTTTGATTATAATTATCAAAAATGTTTTATCTATCGAGTAACTTGTACAAGAGAAACGTAGAATAAAACTCCTGGTCATCATCAACAGCCTTTATTAGTCCACTTCTGGTCATAGACCTCTCCTTAGAAAGGAGGTTTTTACCTAACTATATCACGCTGGCCAGACGGGTTAGTATACGGCTTGTTTTAAGTTTTCCTTCTCTTTGCAGTGCTCTTGTCCTACGTAGTTTGCTCCCTTAGTAGGCTCTGACGATACCCACGGGGTAAATAGGGGTGGTGACATTCCGTATTCTTAATCTATTTCCACTCAAAATCAATGGTACCAGTAGCAAAACTTATAAAATTGAGTAATTATCACTTAGATTGTATAAATATTTGAGATCGGCTGTCTTAAAACTGGCTGGAAGTAATATATACATTTATTAATGTAAGTTTAGACTTTTGACAGCTTTTAAAGATAGATATATCTTGGTAAATTTTCATATTTATTATAAATAACATGTATATACTAGAAAAGTACATATAAATAAGACAACTTGTGCACAGGAATTGTTTGCTTCCGACCACACACAATCACTCTGGATCCCCAACAGGATATGTAGGTATATAAAACACACGTTTTGAATATTTTTATGTTATATTTTGATTCGTTTGAAAAAAAAAATGGACAGGGATTCAATATAGTGAAACTTAGTCCATCATCACGTTAACAGCCTTACATAGTCCATTGCTGGACATAGGTCCCTCTTTAGAAAGGCGGTTTTGGTCAACTATACCAAGCTGGACGGGATGGTATAAGGTTTGTTCAGGGACGGGTTGTTTGTCAAGTTTTCCTTCTCTTTGCAGTGGTGTTGTCCTGTGTAGTTCGCTCCCTTACTCGGCTCTTACGACACCCACGGGTAAATAGGAGTGGTTAGACTCAGTACTAATATGTCACCACTTATGTGAACTTAGTTCAGGAGTGAAATTTAGTTGCTGTCTATAATATAATAATGTTCTACCACATTCACACAACGCCATCTAGTCCCAAACTAAGCAGAGCTTGTACTATGGGTACTAGGCAACTGGTATAAATACATGTATGTTTTTTTTTGTAAATACGAACATATTATACATAGATACACCCAGACGAAATCGAAGTTTAAAAGTTCATGCACACAAATGTTTGACTTGAGCGGGAATCGAACCCGTGACCTTTGGAATAGCAGTCCGTTACACAAACCACTACGCCTCCCGGTCGTCAAATTTTGTCAAAGTCTATCTTTCTTAATATTTGTATTTTTGTATTTGCATTAAGGTATCTTGATTGACGTCACGTTCCTGTCATTTTCTCACGATATATTTTCCCACGTGTTAAAACCTCAATGCTACATCATAACTACGTCCTAAGCGAAAGAAAAAACTAGAGAATACGTGTATTTGAATATTTTTTGTCAGAGTTTTGTCCAACCTTATATTTAGTCCAACACTACACACAATGAATAGTCAAAGAACTGTCCACGAAATTACCATATTTAAACACAAGCGATCTGATATGTCCCAGCTAGTTGTTATTCACGAGGCGTCTGATAATACTGCGCAAATGTGAACCAAAGGGTTTACCCGCACATATTATTAAATATACTATGTGTGACTCGTGACTCCACTCACCAATAAATATACAAAACTAGCTAGTACCCGAGGCTTCGCTCACATGATTGTCCTTACTTCGTGTTTCTAACTTGACGGTCTTCCATAAAACAATTCATCACTTATTCAAGGAGTGAAATTGCCAAAAATCCTTTCTTATTCACAGCAACAGACTTTAATAGTCCACTGCTGGACATAGGCCTCTCCTTAGAAAGGAGGTTTTGGCCTACTATACCACGCTGGCAAGACGGGTTGGTATAGGGTTTGTATCAGTTTCCCTTCTTTTTGCAGTGCTGGTGTCCTGCGTTGTTTTGCGCCCTTAGTCGCCTCTTACGACACCCACGGGATGAATAGGGGTAGTGACATTCCGTATTCTTAATCCGTCACTACACGGACAGACACCTTTCTTAGTCGGTCTTACAATATAAAAATTATTTGCTGACAAAATGTCGAGTTTTTAGCCCCAGCGATTTAGGCTCTGCGTTGATGAATCAGTCAGGGCAAGTAATTTAATCATCATCATCAGCCCTTAATAGTCCACTGCTGGACATAGGCCTCTCCTTAGAAAGAAGTTTTGGGTCTACTACTCGTATACCGCGCTGGTCAGACGGATTGAAATATGGTTTGTGTCAAGTTTTCCTTCTCTTTGCAGTGCTGTTGTTCTGAGTAGTTTGCTCTCGTAGTCAACTCTTACGACAGACTATAATCATAACTACACAGGAAATATACTGCGGTACCTATATCATCAATATATAATCAATCTGTACGAGTAATGACATAATATCATTAATATTTATAATCTAAACATTGACCTAACTTTTTGGCCTTGGTCTGTGAAAGACGAGGCCTCAAACGCATTATTAGGTGACGAATATTTTTTTGTTTTGTTTTGATTGATTTAGTTACGCGTACTATTAGAACTAGATTGTTAGTTGTTCATTGTTTTTTTAATTGTTATTTTAATATTGAGGAAAGTTTGTAATGAATAGAGAGAAGTTTAAATAGTGTATTATTAAAATTGTGTAGATAAATAACTCTCGCTGTAAGCTAGGTAAATAATAGTGTATAAATTGCGTTGGATTGATTTTTTAGTCAGTAAATAGAATTAATAAAAACTGTAAATATGTCTCGTATTAAGTATTTTGTGGGACTATTTTGATAAAATAAATGTTGCTGAATAAGAGGCAAGATGTACAATTTATGCCGATGTATACAGCTACAAAGGGACGACAGGCAATTTAAAGGCGTATCTTCTTTTTTCTGAAAAAAGGCAACTCCTGCATTAGGAATATATTCCTGTGTCGCGGGGAATTTTACAAACATACATGGAACGGACACAAAGAACACCCAGACTCAGAACAACAATTGGTGGTTCACGCAAAGTGTAGTCCCATGTGGGGATCGAACCTACAACATTCAGCGTAGTAGGAAGCGGCGTGGCGAGCGCTTGAACCACTACGCCATCCGTGCAGTCAAAAACATTTAGATGGTTACACAATAGTTGCTACTGGACTTCTACTTAAATGCAAAGGATGTTAATCGATTTGATGAGTAAATAAGTATAATTTATGGTTAAACAGACAATGCAAATAGTGTTAATATGTTAAAAGTGTGAATTAATACAAAAAGCATTGTAAATTTTAAAGAAAACATGTTTCTACTGAATATATGTACTCGTATATTTTGACTGCACGGATGGCGTAGTGGTTTAAGCGGTCGCCACGCCACTTACTACTACGCTGAGTGTTGTAGGTTCGATCCCCCTTGGAACGACACTTTGTGTGATCCACAAATTGTTGTTCTGAGTCTGGGTGTTCTTTGAGTCTGTTTCATGTATGTTCGTAAAGTCCCCGCGACACAGGATACATTGCTAATGTTTACTTAAAAAAAAACGAACTTTTAAATACGCCTGCATAATAAGGTCTCTATTTAAATTGAATGCACTCAACCTAACCACATCTCGCCTTGCTTTTGCCATAATAGTCAGAAAATATTAATGTGCCAGTCCTAAGCAATAAACATAGGCAAAGTATGAACGAAAATTCATTCAGTTACGTACATTTCTCAACACTCTTTTGAAATGAGCACTAAAATATATCACATACATAAGCGTTAAATATCTATAAAACGTTCAGTATCGAAATATAAAACAAACAAAAGTATCGAAAATGATATCCATAATCAGTTACCGGTACAATATACAGATTCATAAAATACTAGCTGACCCGGCAAACGTTGTTTTGCCATATACATTA